TCGGGCCGCGGCTCCGAGGAGGGCGCGGCAACAGCGGCGTCTGGTCCCCTGCGCCGAGAGCTGGCTCTCCCATGGCAGCGGCTCCGAGAAGAACCTGCGAGGGTAAGCGGAGTAAGCCGATGCGCCCCAATACTCCTCCCAGCCGCCTCCTCCGCCCAAGTAACGCCCACCATCTGGTCTGCCTGGCTCCCCAGCTCACCTGGAGCCGCGGGCGCGACCTGGAGCTGCCCCGGATTCTGGCCCGGCGCTCTGTCCTGCTATTACTCGTTCCTCGATTTCTCGAGCGCTGTCTTCCGCTGGGGGTCCCCGTGCCTCCGAGAGGGCCGCGGGACTCGGCAGCCCAAGCCCTGAACAGAGTTTCCGAGCAACGGGAGCCCTGCGGCTCGGAAAGGGAAACTTTCGCCGGGCCCGGAGCTCTGCTTCGCGCTGGGCTGAGCCCCGTGTGTTCGGCTCCAGCTGCGTCTCCTCCGCCTTCTCGGGACCGCAGCTTCCTTCCTCGCTCCAGAGGACGAAGCCCTCCGGAGGAGGGGGGGCGGGAGGGGCCTTATACGGGACCCAGCTCCTGGCAAAGCAGCTCCGCCTCTCTCGTTCTCGGCCTCTGCGCCCCGAATCTTCCCATTTCTCTGGCGGCGGTGGATGGGGCGCAGCGCGACCCTGCAGCGGTGGCGGCGGCAGCAGCCGCTTCTTCCATCACTCAGAGGATGCCTGGGCGGGCATTGCCAGCTGTCCCCGCCGCTCCACAGCCTCTGACTGGCCCGGAAGGATCTGGTACACACGGCTCTCGGCAAAGGAGCCCGAGGCCGCAGAGCACCCTTGCCCGCCGCGCCCCCGGCACCAGCGGCTCTGCCCAACGAGGTATTGGGGCAGAGGAAGCCCCCGCCGCCGCTACTGCCGCCGCCGCCGCCGCACGAAAGCGGAGCCCGGGAGGATGCTGCTACCCGACTCCCCCTACGCCTTGCCGCTGCAACGCGCTCGGGCCAGCCTCTGCGCGGCTTCTGCCAGGCGGCGCCGGGTTGGTGCGCGGCGCCGTCTGTCGCTGCGGCTCCTCCCCTTCACCGCGCTGCCCTCCTCCTCCACCCCGTCCCGCGCCCGCCCCCCTCGAAACGCCCATCTCCTGCCGCCGTCGCTGCCTTGGGGGCTGGAGATTCGGGGTCGGGTTTATAGCGGCGCTGGGTTTATAGCGACGCTGCTTGGGCAGCCATCTGCGCAGCGGAAGCGGTAGCAATCCGTGCGCAAAGCCCTGGAGCGCGCACGCGGGGTTTGAAGCGCTCGCGCGTCTGGAGCTCTGGGAAACTTGGATTCTGCGTGCCGGTGCCAGGCTCAGCCTCACGTTTTTGCTTTTGGAAAGAGTTGGTGATAAAGTTTGGACAGAAATCTCCCAGCGGCCGCCCACTCTGCTCCTCCCCCGAAGTGGGCACCGCCCGTCTCCTACGGGAACCGAGGACTTACCCGCACCCTGGAGCTCTTCTAGGACGCCGAGCGCTGCTCGCTGGCTTGCTACTACCCGCTCGCCCGTTACAACTGGCCTGAGATTTCTCCCTCACCGAGGAAGTAATAAATCTTTCTGACCCGGGGTCAGAGAAGACGCTTCAGTTTTCCGAAGGCGTGTGCTGGCTGGGCGTCTTCTCCTGGCTTTACTCCACTTATGGATAGGGCCGCTTTGGGCTTATTCGCCTCCAGCAGATTCTCTCTCAAATTCGGCTCGGAATGATGCGTCCGCTGTGACTGATGTCCTCGAGAAGGCGGGGCGTGGGGAGGAGTGACTCCTTGTTCTAATTTACAGTAAAATTCTTGACTTGCTTCTTGGTTTTAGAGATGAGATCAAAAGATTTGACTCTAAAGGAAATACCATTGTTGGAAGTAGAAGGCATTTTTGAGTTGGTTTAAATACTTTCTTTAAAGATAATGAGGAAAAGCTGCTTTTCCTCGCTCCTCTGTCTCCTTCTCTCTCAGTTAAGTCAACCAAAGAAGACTAAGCCATAATCTCAATTTCATCCGTAAAATCGGGACAATTATAATAACCTCCAGTAACTGAAAGTGGTTGGGTGATCTATAGATTTCTAGTTGAGGCCTTGGCTGAATCGCAAGTCTTGTAGCTCGTGCGCCGCGTAAATGCTGCGCTAATCTGGAGGCGTTTCGTTTGCCTCCTGTCCAGGAGTGTTTAGAAGTTTGACCGAGTTAATGCAAATTTATTTTTGTACTATTTTGGACAGCCTCTCTCAACCAGAGGATCCTTCTACATTTAAAATGTTTCTGTTTGTGCCATTATTCTTCAGTGAGTCGTATAAAACCTTCTAAATGCAATGACTCAGGAAAGTGACAACTCATAGGAGTTTTTAGGGTAGAAAAATGTTCAAAAACTTAACTCCAAAGACTGATGAAAGAGAAAGGGAGTTGGGAAGGAAAGAAAATCTCAATCTTATAATTCGGCATGATTCCAAGAAAAATAATTTCTAATATTTTAAGTTAGTCTTTGGCTTCAGCTCATGAATTGCAATTATTTGATGTAAGGACTTCTTTAAAACAATTATTTGCATAGAAACAATTTCGTGACAATTTTGTAACACTTTAATATAGTTGGCAAAATAGTAAATCCATTTGCCAGACGCCCCACAATGAGTGTTCAGCTGGCATAAAGTTACAGGTTCCCACATCTCCACCCTCTCCTTGCTTGCAAATATTTTACCATTTTGCAGCATCATGATTGGTTACAAACTTCCTTACAACTAATGACATCCAAAGACTTGATAATGCCTTCTTTCCCACAGTTGTTCAGAAATTCCTTTCATTTTAATCCACTTATCCTTTTGGCATGGTAATGACACCGACACATAATTTAAGTCACATAATTTCATTGGCAGAGGAGTGAATCATGCCACAGGGATGTCCTTAATTTCAACCCTTCCAGAATGCTCCTTCGGTCTTTTCCTTCTGTGCTGTCTGTGATGTGGAAAGGAAAGTGCTGTTACAAACTTGCTGTGGCTTTTACCTAATCCTGGACAAACAGGGAACCTAACATTCTGAAGAGCTGTAGGCCCAGTCACTGCCTGTGGAATCCAGCAGAGACATCGTCCAGGACCTTCCTCCATAGATTGAATTGGGAAAAAATGTAAGGCTGGGTTGCCTGGACAGTTCCTATCCAGGGTTGTCTCTGTCGCCAGGGATCTGCAAGATTCACCTTTGGAGAGTGTCTGCACCAAGATAGATTCAGTCACTCATATTTTCAGCAATTATGCGTTGTCAATGGAACTTGAATACACAGAATTGAATTAATCATAATCCTTGATTTAAAACATGCTGTCATCATTGGTCCAAGGGTAGGTCGCCCTTTTCTATTTTATATGATTTTAAGTAATGTAATGAATACTCATGAACCCATTACAGAGCACAAAAACTCCATAGGTAACCACTACCACTCTATTTAATTTAGTTTAAAATTTTTAATGAAATGGTCAGGTGGGGATGGGGGGGGGTGGAATTTGCCATAACTGTCAAAAGAAGAAAAAAAAAAGCCTGAATAGTCTTATGATTACTAAGGAAATGAAACAATCATTTAAAATCTTCCCATATGGTAGCTGAAGGAAACTGGACTTTGGGTAGTAAACACACAATAGAATATACAGATGTCAAATGATAATACACACCTGAAAATTATATAATTGTATTAACCAATGTTACCCCAACAAACTTAATAAAAATAAAAATAAATAAATAATAAATTAAATTAAATTAAATCTTTCCATAAGAAAACAACAGGCCCAGAGAGCTTTAAAGGTGGATTCCACCAGATTTTCAAGGGCTAGATCATTTCCATTTTATACAAAGTCTTACAGAGAGCAGAAAGTGAGGGAGTACTTCCTCAATTTATAATAACCGGATGGATAATAACCAGAGGGGAATTTCAGAGAATAGGTCCTTTTTACTGATTAATATATACATAAAACTCCTAAATAAAATAAATTTAATCAAGTGTGGGAATAAAGACAGTGCCCTACAACCAAGTTAGGTTTATTCCCAAGAATATAAGGATGACTTAATAGTAATAAATATTTATTGAGCACCTACAAGGTGGCAGGTGTTGGTCTAACTCTGCAGGATGCAGATGTCAAACAGGTCTAATCCCCACTCTTGTGGAATTTACACTCTAGCATGGGAGACAGTCAGTACACACACATTTAAACATAAGATTATTTTAGAGAAAGGTAAGTGCTATGGAGAAAATAGATCAATGTTGGAGAGAGTGACTAGAATTAGCTACTGTAAATTGGGGAGGTAACCTTTGCAAAGGGTAGGTGACCCTTGCAAAGAATGAGGAAGTAGCTCAGTGAAAACTGAGGAGGAACATTGCATGTAGCTGATATAGCAAGTGTAGAAGCCCTGTAGGGGTACAGTTGAAAGAGTGGGGAAGAATGAGGTTGTGTTTACTGTGGCCACCTGAGTGGGGTAGGCCCTTGTTTGCAATACCTGAATGGGTTTCTTAAACTTTAGGCTTTAAAAAGCAGTTTATTAAGAAGCACAAAAAGGATGTTATAGGAGAAATGTCCTCCCAGGAAGTGTGCTTCTCCAAGAACATAAGTAGCTAATTATTAAATGTATTGTCCTCGTTTGAGCACCACCATCTGCTACCCAGACTACACCTGGACATGCTCAACCTTTCAACATCTTTGCTTTTAAGATCTAACCCAGCTGTCTATTAACTGGATCTCACCGCAGCCTTGAGAGTTGGCAACAAAACCCTGGAATTTTTCCCTGCAGTTTTTCTTTCCAAATGTTAGTAGAGAAGGACAAGCTAACTGAACCAGGAGATATTCCCCTGCCACAACTAAACACCACCTTCTCTAGGCCATCAGCCAGTTCTTTGCTGCCTATATCAGACATCCTCTTGGGTTCTGCCTGCCCTCCATCCATTTCTCTCTTCTTTTGGTAACAGTGTCAACCACCCCAATGTATTGTATGTGGCTTCGGTAGGAACTTTGGCCAAAATACTCCTCCTTTCTCCTCCTCCCAAGTGACCCAGGCTCAGCAAATTAGATGTTCTTTTTATGAAAGTTTCATCTATTCCTTCAGTCACTGAATCTATATGTACTGAGTTTGGGCTATGTGCCAGGCAATCTGAATCTTCATCAGAGAGACCAAAAGATGGAAAACAGTTGCTGCCCTCTCGTCCTAACAGTGGACCCCTAGAGAAATGTCTCATTATCCTTTCAGAAGGGATCCTGTCCCTTGTAAGCCTATTATTTGGTTTTTCTGTGAGCTACTCCAAATGCATCCATGAATTTCTCCCTCTTTCCCACTAACTTCATCAGAGTCAGTTTTTGTTACTTAGAACCAAAAATTCCTAATTGACACGGTGGCTTACTGCCTAATTACAGATTTGGTTTCATTCATGCTTTGTCTTTGTGCCTTATTCTCCATCTGCCCTTAAAGCAGTGCTTTCTCTTTTGAGTTCTCACCTTTAAATTCTAGTATCTGGCCAGTCATTGATCTTAAGAAACTCCAGCCCGTCCCCCACTTCAGTATCAGTGACCTCAGCACTCACTCCTTCCCCTGACCCTATCACCAACATCCGCTGGGCTGCTCATTTGTGACTCCTGACCCCCATTAGCCACACAGCCAGGACTGCTCTCACACTAATTAGTGCTCCTTCTTAGATTTATTTCCAGAAACCGCATCTAATCATCAGTATCTCTTGACTTCTGGTCCCAAGGACCTGCTGGGCCCTTTTATTATTATTTAATTATAGCCTCCTCCCTTTTCTCCCCTCCGTTAAAAAATACAGCAGGGATGTGAAGTGGCTCACAAAGATGAGTACAAGAAAACTGATCAAAGGGGAAATAACATGAAACCGAGGTATGATCTGTGTAACAGTTCATTCCATGAGGTCCTACACAATTGCTAAAGGTGAGTCCAAAAAAATGGTTCTGAGCTTCCTGGTAGCAAAAGTAAAGAAGGAAAGTTGTTCAAGATATCAACAGCTTAAATTTTTATCTTCTATTATAAACTTCATTCATGTGATTTCTTTTTTAACTACTTTATTCCTAATACTAGCATAGTATCTGGCATATAAGTGCTCGATAATGTTTTGGCTGACTTACTGTGGGTCCTTATAAAAGAATTATGTAATATAGAAAGTAGACTATGTCCTTAAATGTGTCTCTACAAACTACAATGAAAACAACTATAGAGCTTGGGCAGAAAGTTCTTACAAGCCCAATAAATGCAATCTAATGGCACAATGTGGCTACTCGGTTCACTAAAGACAATTCTGTATGAACTACATCCATCACTCTGCCTGGCCTGCTGGCCCATCTCAGCAAACTGCATGAAGCTATTTATCACACCAAAGTGTATAGGGATGAAGGGATGAATAACTTCTAGGAAAAGGCTTCTTGGAGAAAGTATTGCCTGGAAACAACAAACAAACAAACAAAAAACAGCTTCTGTCATCTCTTTCCACATCTCCATGCCAAACATCTCCCAACAGCAGTAAAAGTTGTATCTTGTGCTATTCTCGGTTAGAAAGTGGTCTTAAAGCATTTTTGAAAGTTGTTTTACTTCCTCTGATTTTCCTTCTCAGTGTCCCAGGACTCATGAGTTCTGAACACACTGAAATGGGGTTGAAGCTGGGAGCATGCAGTGTGCCTTGCTCTGACCATTGCCCCTCCTCCCCAGTCTGGAGCTCCAGTTTCCAGGAATTTCTCCTTACAGTAGACCTGTTCTCTCCACATAGGGCCTGCCCCATGACAGGTGCTTAGAAGGCAGACCTCCCTGTACCCACTGAGAGATGGCCATTCCCCTCTCTGCAGACCTTCTGGACCCATCTCCCACCTGTTCCTAATCAGTAAGGAGACATGACTCTCACTGTATTTTGAAACCCAGCATTTCAAAATGTGGAGAAGCTTTGATTCTGAGGTCTTAGTCCATGAGCAGAAATGCTTTAAAAATAACCAACCAGTCACCAAAATCAGCTGTCATCAGGAAGCAGAGATAACATCACATTAGTAGAAGTCTGTGGGACATCTATATGACTCTGCAGTAATCAAATTCTGTTTAAAACAGATAAAGGATGTCTACAGAGTAATACATGCCTTCATTGTGACTCCTACCTCAGTTACCACGGTATCTGAGAAAGGCTGTCAACTAGAAAACCCTCTCTATATTGACAGAAGGAATTAGGTTCTTTGAGATTTAGAAACAAGATACAGCGGCTCATGTAAAGAATTTGGAATCGGCCCTGGATTCGATTTCCTACCAATTCACTTACTAGTTCTACATTCTTGGGCAAGGTATGTAATCTCTTGAGCCTCAGTTTCCCATCTGTAATATAGGCATCACAGTAGCTGTGTTGCAGAATGGCTAAAAAAAGACAGGGAGATCACAGAAGTAAAGCACACAGTATAGCATGGAACGGTTAGTAAGTAGTAATTCCTGCCCCCACCCCAGGTGAAGGGCTTCTTCTTAGGGAGGAATGAAGCAAGTTAAAAGAACTCAGGGTCTCCAAGAAAGAAGGATGCCATATCACTTTCTCTATCCCTTTTTTGTTAGGGACATTTGGGGATTTGGTTTGGTGACAGCTTTTTTTCAGGACGAGGAGGGTTCTGGTTGAGGGAAGAATGATGGGGAGAAGGGGAGAAGGGTTTAGTGGTTACTAGAGAGAACGGGCTCATCACAGTGGGAGTTTTGTTGGCTTTGACATCCAATGGGCCTTGCTTCTCGAAGTGTAGTCAGTGGATCAGCTAAATCAAGGTCACCTGAGAGCTTGTTAGAAATGCAAACTCTCAGGCCCCATATCTCTTGCATCAGAATCTGCATTTTATAAAAACCAAATTACATCAGCAGCTATCCACACATCTCTTTCCTTTTGCATGATTAGTCAGGTGTTATATAAATAACAATAAATAAAAGAAATTCAAGACATATACCTGACCTCAAGGTGCTTACTTATGGAGGCAGAGAGAGAAGTAAAAAGGGATACGACAAAGTTAATTTTTTAACTCTCAAACACAAGACAATCATAGAAATAGACAGTATAATATTTACTCTAAAATTGACTAGGTCTATAATGAAAGAAGTCTACTTCTAAGTATTATCTTTCTGCTTCCCAAGTGAGTTTCCAAATATTGGACATTTTATCAGAACAGAATCTATGCAGGAGACATATTGATAACCAAGGCCAGTCATTATTTTAAAAAATGCCCAAGAAAGAATAAGGCCCTGTGAGAGCATGAGAGAGCACACAAAATCTTCATTTTAACAAGATCCCTGAGTCTGCATGTTAGGTTTGGGAAGCACAGTAACAGCCACTTCAGTGTTTGACAGTGGGTAAACTCCTACAATAAATAACGCAGGGTCACACAGGTGGGTGGACACTGGTTTTTCCCCACACCTTTCTGTTGCATGAGGTTATCAGGTGGCTAGAAGCTTCTTCTGGAGCAGTTGCAAGCCCAGGCAGTGCAAATGTGAAAGAGTTGCCCTTCCCTTCCCTGCCCCAGGGACGGCCCCTTGCCAGGATACACAGCTAGTGAGCAGACGCTGGAGATTTTGTGCAGTACGCAACCCACACAAACATATGAGAACCAGTTCTTAGCACAAAAATAAGTTTAAAATACTTTTCAGCAAAATAATATTTACTAATTACTTAGAAAATGTTGTCTTCATTCTTGGAACTTATAGGCAAACTATTATGCAGAAACATAGTTTTCCACAGGTGACCTTTGAGCTCATGTATTTAATTTCTGCATTGTGTTGGTAAATGAAGTGGAACAGACAATTTTATGCCTACATTGTTTTGGCAGTCATAAGAAAGAAAATCCAACAGGAAAAAAAAAATGAGGAAAGAAAAATAGCTCTCAACCTAGAGTTTTATTCTGCATCTTCTATGCAGTGTCTGAGTTTCAAATTCCCAAAGTTTTATGCCAACTCTTTAAACTTTGGATCAGGTCTTGCCTAGTTACATGCTGAAAAGTTGGATGCAATTTTGGCTCAAAATGTAACACCTCATTAGTTTTCAGATGATATATTCTTGTCCTTTTACAGATTTCTCTTTTCTCAGTCACGACATAACATGTGGTTTTATTTACTTCAAAGGGGCAACCTTTCAGCTCAAGCACAGTTCTGCCACATCCACTTCTAGAGCATAGCATGTTTTGTTGATTTGTTGAACTGTTTCTTTTCCCTTTCCTTGTTAGTTTTCTATTTTTACACAAGATTTTATTGTTAGGACACAACTTATTATGCAGATAAGTCTTTTCTACAAATCCAAAGTCCCACTTTTGGGAGACAATCTGCATTTTAATATCACAGGTCAAATTCCAATCCAATAAATATCTAAACTCCTAGCATTCATATGAAAAGATATTGCTTTCTTCATCTCCAGCCAGTACCTTATTTGTCATTTATTTCAGGATCTGACTGACTCGATGAAATTTCAGTACAACATAAAAAATTACAAATCTATTGTACTTAGCTGTCTGTTTTTATTTTTATGACAAACACCTGGGTTCATCTAGATTTATCTTTTCATCATTAATTTAATGATGGGTATTTTGTTTCTTTTTCTCTCAAATCTTCTCTGTCCAGAACGCAGGAGACTGGTGGGCTTTAGATCTGTTTCAGTTAATGGCTTTATACTTATTATGGAGAAGCATCATTCAGCCATTGCCACCATCTGGACTTTGTGCCCAAAGAATGAAGATTTGTTGTAAAGCATCATAACACAGAATGGCAGTGCCAACAAAGTGAGAGTAACAGTCCCTAATGACAGTAGGAAAAGTAATTCCTCTCAATTCATATGCATGACACTGCTCTGGCCCATTTAATTCTGTCCATGATGATATGGAGGTCACAACATTTTCATGTATTTACAGCATTTTTGCTGGTGTCAGCAGATCAGAGCAAATGGCTGTCCATCTCTCAAATTTTGCTCTTCTGCTTGGCATTCTATGTTGAAGAAGAATCCAAGAGAGATTGTCCCATTTGGTATGTTTTAGCTGAGTGGCATTGTTTCTGTAAACAGCTGGATTTGTCCAACCATGCTGGCAATCAGTTTGGATGTTTATGGCCCTTATGAAACTTCCATATCACATAGGCAGGCAATTGCTTACTTAGTTTCTGCTGGAAACCCATAAAAATATGTGCTCAATAACTGCAAATGTGTCCACAGCTTGCACAAAGTCCCAGCCTGGGTCAGCAATCTTTTATTTCCTTTTAAATAACCCACACAGAAAATATCCCCTAACAGATTATTATCCATCTGGTAGTTCAAGACAAAGTGCAGAATATGCAGTTTGTACATTTGGGGCTCACATGTAATCTAATCTCATGGTTGCTCCTGACTTAAAGTCTTTATTTACCTACAAGACTCCCCTTATTGCTGATTCTTATTGTCAGTAGAAGGTAGCTAATGTCATCTGCTTTCACAATCATGGTTCACTTTTTTTAAAAATAAATTTATTTATTTAAATTAATTTCAAGTATACAGTACATTGGTTAGATATCTATAATGTTCATAAAACGATCCCTCCAATTGCTCCCTCCCTCCCCTGGCCCTCCATTTAACCATCATATTAATGGTAACTGCATTCCCTCTGCCATGCTCCCCATGCCCAACTATCAACTACTAATTTGTACTTCTTCAACCCTTCACCTCATTCTCCCAGCCTCCCAACCCACCTCCCCTCTGTCCATCACCAAATTGTCCACTATATTTGTGAGTCCGTTTTTGATTAGTTTGTTCTTTTTGTTCCTTAGATACTGCATGCAAGTAAAATCATCGGTATCTATCTTTCTCTGTCTGACTTATTTCACTCAGCATAATAACCTCTAGGTCCATCCATGTCATTACAAATGGTAGGATTTCATTTTTTTTAATGGCTGAGTAATATTCCATTATATATATGAACCATAATTTCTTTATCCAATCATCCATTGATGGGCATTTAGGTTGCTTCCATAACTTGGCTATTGTAAATTGTGCTACCATGAATATTGGAGTGCATAGATCTTTATGAATTATTGTTTTGGTTTTCTTTGGATAAATACCCAGAAGTGCAATTGCTGGGTCAAAAGGCATATCCATTTTTAATTTTTTGAGGAACCTCCATACACTTTTCCGTAGCGGCTATACCAATTTGCAATCCCACCAACAATGTATGAGGGTTTCCTTTTCTCCGCATCCTCACCAACACTTGCTGTTTTTTGATTTATTGATGATAGCCATTCTGACAGGTGTGAGGTGATATCTCATTGTGGTTTTAATTTGCATTTCTCTGATTAGCGACCTTGAGCATCTTTTCATGTGTCTGTTAGCCAAAGGGAAACAGAAGAAAAAATAAACAAATAGGACTACATCAAACTAAAAAGGTTTTGTACAGCAAAGGAAACTATCAATAAAACAAAAAGATAACCGACTGGGAAAAGATATTCACTAATGATACCTCTGATAAGGGGTTAATATCCAAAATTTATAAAGAACTTATACAACTCAACAACAACAAAAAAACAATTCGATTTAAAAATGGGCAGAAGACCTGAAAAGATACTTCTCCAAAGAGGAAATACACATGGTTCACTTTAAAGCAATTTACAGAAGCTCGTTCTTATAATCTTCCACCAATGAAGGACAGAAATTTCAAGACTTGAAACGAAGCACTAATTCTGCCCATGAATAGCTAGGTCCAGTAGAATTTTAGCATCCTTATTTCATGGTGCTCCTCAAGGATCACTAAATTCCTAACCCTGTACTAGGCTTACTTATACAGAAAGCATAAACTGAGAACTCAGAAAACAAGGTCTCTCTCCATCTTTCCACATCCAAGCATTTTACTCCCAATCTCTACCACAAGAACACCACTTAACTGGTAGCAAATATGTATATAAGACTTATGGGCATAATAAGAAATACATAAATATGCTGAAACTGAACTTACCATTGACTACAGAGAACAGATGAGGAAAGTGGAAGTAGCCCAGTTGTATTGCAAGTCCATGATCACAAAAGGAATGCTCAAGAGGTCTGACCTCCAGCTCTGTTTATTCTCTAGGTTCACAAGCCTTCTCAAATTGTGGTCGGAGTCAAAGTGAGGTTTAAACATTCCCTTCCTCCAACTCACTGAATCATTATCTCCGAGGGTGGGGCCTGGAAAAGCCTACAGCTGATTCTAATGCACAAATTGTGGGACCACTGCCAAGTGCAGCACACATGTTGACCCTCAGACTTTCACAGTCATTTCTCCCATTTTTAAGGCCCACTTGCTCCAATGCCAATCTCTAGCCATAGAAAGGCTGAAAAGCCTCTCAGGAGCCCTTCATAATTACTATAAGAAGAATATGCAGCCAATGCCCAGAGCTCTTCATGTAGCTCATGCTTGAACCTCTGAGTTAGCCGAGCAGATATGTGTGTGTATGTCTTCTCCTTATGCTGAGTTTCCCAAATCTTATTCATTCTTCTACCACTTTCTTGTGATTGTGCAGGTACCACTTGTTTTATTGTTTAATATTTTCTTTCATCTGACCCAGTGTTCAAGACATAAACTATGTTTATTTTAAATAGAAATTGTATATCACCACCACAAATGGAAAACCATTATCATATTTCAGAAATGAAAAGTAACCAAAATATAAATGTAACAAAACAAAACAAAAAGGAAATTATTAAATTCTAGTTAGATTATAGCCTGTAAAAGGCTTAGACATGCTCTCTCTTTGTTAAAAAAAAAAAAAAAAAAAAGGAGGGGAAGATTAGCAAGAATTAAAAAGTGTTTAAGGCAGATAAGTCCCAGACTAAAATTGAAAATCATTCTTCATTCTCCTGAAAACTATCTGACATTCCATGAGTGGAAGGGTTCCTAATCTTTAGGAAACACTGCCTCAGAAATGAAGTTTATCAAAGACAAGGACAGTATTTTTATAAGAAAGGTAGACATATTGCTGGTTAAAAAGTCAATCTAAATATTTGTAGATACCATCATGTACATCCTTAAAACTGATTTAGAACTTAGAACAAGTGCTTTGCATATGGATTGCACTGAACAAATATTTGTTGAGTGAATGAGTGAAGGAATGTACAAACATCCTGGCTGTAAAATTGATTTTGCAACTTTCCTCAGTTTCACTGTTTCAGTAACCTTTAGTGGTTCAGTTCAGTAGCTCTCCCTAGTACAATACAAATTCTATTCTTTGAATTCTTTCCCTGGGTGGTGAGTTCCAATTACATGATTCAAGTAGACAGCACCTGATTTGCATGTGATTTGATTCAGGTCAGAAGGCTCATTAACAGAGGCTGAAGTGGGGTTTTCATCTGTTTATTACACTTTCCCTTTAGTGTCAGATCACCCCTTTCATTTATGTTAGCTTATTGGCGCCACTGGTTGACTTTTATGTTTGGGTTTTGATTTAGAATTATATGTCTAATATTAATCCTCCAGTTGCTAGCTTCTCTGTTGCTGAGAGTTTGTGTAAATGCTTGTGCAAGCTAAAGCAGTTTCTCTCAACCTGCAGCTCTGGCTCCAGCTCACTGAACAACTTCTTCGTGCTATTTTTTATTAACTTAAAGGTAAACATTTCTATTTCTGGCTCATGAGCATTGCAAAAGATGTTAGCAAACTCCATGCACCCAAAATCTGATAATTCCTTTGAAATGTTTCTATAAACTACACACACACACACACACACACACACACACACACACACAGAGTTTGTTTTTGCTGTTAAGGTTTATAGTTAAGAAATAGCTTTTAAAAATATTCATTTTGCTTTTGAGTATATTTAGGCCTTATTTTCAGAATAGTATGTAATCAATTTTTTCAAACTTCAGGGCAGATGGATACCAAACGTGCAGTTACAACGATAAAGGAAAAGACATTCTGCTTGCCATAACACTTGGTATTTTTGCTTATCCAATAGATTTTTATATTCAAGACATACTTTTTGAGCAGCTACCAGAGGCATGAGATCAACAACATATCCTCACCCAAATTAAAATCACAAAACATAGATAGTACAGTCCCTTTCTATTACAAATCTTATTTTGACCTGCTTATGGGAGTGTCTTTTAAGAATGCTAATTACTGTGACATATCCAAATCCTTAAAAATGTTCTGCTCAGGAGATATGGCTTCCACTAATAATAAACTTGGTTATTCAGATAGACATGCCCAGCAGTTGGTGAATATACAGGGTAGACAGCTAAGAAAAGCCAAGAGAACCTCAAAAGAGAACAAGAAGGAAGACTGCTCATGCAGATATCAAAACTTGGTATAAATCTCTCACTTTTGAGACAATGTGATTTGATGCAGCAACCAAAAAATAGACAAGGGACTATAATAGACCAGGTAGCTTCATCACAGACTCATGCATATATGGACCCTGAGTTGTAACAAACTTGGCACTGCAAAAAGATAGGACAGAGTCAGTCTTTCAATAAATGATGCTTGGACAATTAGATGTCCATATTGAAAAAATGACATTGGGCATGAACCTCAAACTATACATGAAACTCAATTCTAGCTAAATTATAAACCTGAATGTGAAAGGTAAAACACTAATGCTTTTAGAACATAATAAAGAAGAATAGCTTAATGATCTCAATAGAAAAAAAAATTGACATTATACAAAAGCACTATCTACAAAGGAAAAAAATATGTAATGAATTACATTAAAAATAAGAACTTCCGTTCATCAAAAAATAACATAAATGAAAAGGAAATATAAATCATGGAATGGGAGAAGATATTGCAACACAAGTGAGTGACAAAGGACTGCTATCAACATTACACAAAGAACTCCCACATATTGGTAAGGAAAAGGCAGTTAACATAATAAAAAAAAATAACTGCAAAAGATTTGAATAAGCTCTTCACAAAGGAATAAGTTGAAGTTACCAATATACACAAAAAGGTGCTCAATGTCATTAATAATCAGACAGATGCAACTAAGAACCACAATGAGATACTACTATAAACCACCAAATTGCTCAAAACATAACAAATCTAGCAGTACCAACTGCTGGTGAGATGGGAACTTTCATTCACAGCTGGTGGAACTCAAGTTATTGCTACCTTGGAAAAAAGTTCTGGCATAATGTAGTAAACTTGAAAATGTCCATACCTTATGACCCAGCAATTCTACTCATTGGTTATATTTGCTGGAGAATTTGTGCACATGTGCACCAGGAGATAGAAAAGAATCTTCAAAACAACATTGTTTATAAAATCTAAAACAGCAAAATAGATAAATATATTATAGAGCCGAGCAATATAATATGAAATGAAAAGGAATGAACTAGAGTATAAACAAAAAAATGCTGAATCTTATAGATACAGTTGAGTAGAAGGAGCAAGAAATACAGTATTATTTTATTTATATAAAGTTCAAGAACAGCAAACAGCTGAAACTATACTATATTCTTTTGGGTTATATACATAGGT